TTAAAACTGGATCACTCTGGGTTATTCAGCAGTTCTAGAGAAAACTTCAGGCCGGCCTCCTGGAGTAACACCTCTTTAACCACCAAAGCTTTTGACACATAGTCAAAATCTTTTCGCACCTGCAAAGCTGATAAAGCAAACGGTTCCTGCAGAACAAGCTGAGATTGTTTAGACTCCTTAAGAGTCCACCAGAGACGCACGGTTCCATCCATCTATCGTTGTGACCCGGAGACATCTCAGGACTAATTTGGTCGCATCGAGGTTTCTTTACGAACCACGTACATTGGGGTCGTTGGCTCCTTGATATCTCGGATCCAAACAGGCGTCTCCAGAACGGGTGAGGTAGAACACAGCGAGATTGCGTCTGACGTGTCTTTGATGAGAACTTCATAGTTTATGCAAACCAATACTTTTCACCCATAACTCAAGTTCTTCTAGATACAGAGGTTCTGAAATCTCATTCACACATAGTCACCATACATCACATTCCATCCACTTTAGATTCATCCACTCACAGTAATATTACTTGTCATGTTTTTAATTGTTGGAAAATAAATTCTTACTTTTATAAAACTGGCTGTTTTTTTAATCAAAACGAAGTGTGTACAATCCCCTAATAAATAAAGAATCCTAGAATCTTCTGATTAAAGCATAATAAAGACCAGGCAGGGTGATATTCTATATTAAGATAGAGTATTACAGCTTATTGGTCATAAGTAGAGGTAATATATCTGTTGAGCTCTTAAAGGGGCATTATGGAAGTTTGACAGCCAAAACATGTATAGAAATAATACATTTCTTCCTCATACATTCTCCTGCAATGCCCTGGTCCTGTAGAATGAGCCCTGGCATTTTTACTGCGATTGCATGTTTTTCTGTAAAATCACAGAAAAAGAGAGATGCTCAGGTCGAGCAGGCTACTTCATGCGCATTCACGCTCAGGCATTGCCCATAGCATTTGCTATCCATAGCTTTAGTCTTTGTCGCTGTTCCTAACGCCTAGTGACTAAGCTAGCTACATTTCTGAGGACTCTTAGCTACTTTCGCCTAGATATTTCCTGCAAATTAGCAACAAAATAGCCATTTTCACTCCGAACCGTTCTTTGAACGTTGTTTTAGCTGTCATCAAGGATATAAATGTTACAGATACAAAGGACATCACTGGTGCTTTAGCTCACCTAGTACGATGTTGGACTCTCATGCAGAAGACCCGGATTCGATTCTGGATGTCAACAAAGTTTATTTAGAGTTTCTTTTTTACCTTAATGGTATATTGTTTTACAGTAAGATGCCCAAATTTTAATTTGAGACTCGCCGAACGGCATTGAATTACCAGATAAAAAAGATGTGGGTTCAACTTTCATTTTGGAACAATTTTTCAAGCAAGGGAAGGGCATGATCTGAGCATGCAGGAGGACTGACCCATCATAAACCTTTGCCGGCTGTGCTGAAGAGAAAGGTACAGAACCAAATTATTTAATTAATTAGCTGTGCGTTCTCCTGTCCTCTGTCCTCAGGGCCACACACACACACACACACACAAGGGACTGTCTCAGCTGTTATTTTCGTTGAGTGTGCACATACAGCATGCGCGCCTCGTGCACGAGCCTACTATTGAAGCTGCTGTTACGCTTTTGGCCTGAGGGGGCAATCGCGAGCTTAAAAATTCAAAACTCCGTAAAGTCCCTTTAAAGCACTCAATTTACAAAACCCTACACAGTGCTGTGATACTCTCTAAAACCAGACTGAAATTCCTCAAACAGATCATTAGTGTTTAAATACTCACATACTTGGATGGCCACTATTTTCTCAAGGACTTTGGATAAAAATGGATGGTTAGATGTTGGTCTATAATTCATTGGGTCATCTGGATCCAGAGAAGGCTTCTTAAGTAAAGGTTTGATAACAGCAACCTTAAAATCCTGTGGTACATATCCATTTACTAAAGATACATTGATTATATCTAGAATGGGGGCAGTAACCAAAGGAAATGCATCTTTAAATGATTTGGTTGGGATTGGATCTAAAATGCAAGTTGAAGGTTTAGATGAAGCTAATATTTTTGATAACTTTGAAAACTCAACTGGATCAAAACGGTTCAAACACAGATGAGGTTCTACAGTTACCTCAGATGCTGCCTCGCTTACTGAATAAGAAAAAATTGCATTAGGGAGGATGCTAAAGATTTTGTTTCTAATAGAATTTATTTTACTTGTGAAAAATCCCATCAAGCTGTTGCTGCTGAGGGCTATGGGTTCAGAGCTATGATTATGTGTAAGTCTGGCAACTGTACTGAAAATAAATTTTTGGATATTCTTATTCTCAATCAGCGATGAAAAAAGGCAGTTCTAGCTTGTCAAAGCTTATTTTTTATAAAGCACAAGACTATTTTTCCAGTATAAGTAGGACTCCTTCTTGTGTAGAGCACCATGTTCTCTCCAAATTTCTAAAGTTTTATTTTAAAGTTCATAAATGAGAATTAAACCTGGGAGCCAACTTCCTGTGCTTAATTACCTTCTTTTTTAAAGGGGCTACATCATCTAATGCCACACGTAAAGAAGAAGTAACATTATAAACTAAAGCATCAACTTGTGAAGGTCAAGAAATAAAAATATTGCACTCCTCTACGTTCCTCTGCGATGCTGAAGATAGTGAAGATGGAACAGTTTATTTAAAAGATGAAACTGTGCTGTCAGATAGAGACCGACTATAGTGAAATTTACTTTCATGTCTCGAGAACTCAGCTATAAAAAACTCAAAGGTTACCAGAAAGTGGTCCGAGAGGACTGGATTATGTGGAAAGATCATTATTTATTCACACTCTATGCCATAAGTCAGCACAAGGTCCAATGTATGATGGCAGGAGTGGGTGGAGATATGTATTCTTTGAGTAAAATCAATTGAGTCTAGGATATTACTAAAGGCTACATTGAGGCTATCATTTTCAATGTCCACATGAATGTTAAAATCCCCCACTACAATGACCTTATCAGTATTTAGCACCAAATCAGATAAAAAATCAGAGATCTGATCCAAAAACTCTGAGTTAGGGCCTGGTGGACGATACAAAACTACAAACAAGAGTGGTTTTACAGTTTTGCAAACTGGATTAGGAAAGCGAAGAATAAAATGTTCAAAAGAACTGTAACTACTAATTGGTAAGGGATTGATTAATAGGTCTGAATGAGAAATGGTTGCTACTTCTCCTCCTCGCCCTGTACTTCGAGCAATATGATGATTTAAATTAGAAGAAGTTGACTTGTTTAAACTAACATAGTCCTCTTGCTGCAGCCAGGATTCTGTGTGAGAGAGCAAAGAAATCTGATTATCACAAATCAAGTCATTAACTAACAAAGTCTTAGAAATTTGCTTCCCCTCAATCCAAGAATGAGTTATCAATCAGGCCCTTCACTATGGTACCTTTTCCAGGGCGGATGAGAAGTGTGACCTTTATAGTTGGAGCACAGCAATTGGTCCCCTTTCTTAAAAATGAGGTTATCACTCCAGTCTGCCACTCCAAATGCATCCTCCAGATCTGGTTCCTCACTTGAATAAATGTTGGTGGGCTTGAGGAGCTCCTCAAAATATTCCTTCCACTACCTGATTACATATTCAATTACTAACAGCAGCTCCCCGTCCCCGCTGTAAATGGTCCAAGCGATGGCGAGTGATTTCAAGAAGCACATCCATCCATACATCTCCCACATGTCGGCTTCTCTGTTATTTTATTCACAGACTTGGAGCAAGACGGTTCTCCAAGAACCCGATCTATCACGCGATCGTTGCCGAGGTGTCAGATCAGCACAGAACCAAAGATGGTAAGTGAGATAAGTCACTGAATGCAGTCATTCTCCCACTTTTCTTGTTTGATCATAACATTTCTTATAGTTATTTATCTGGAATTTCTGATTCCTCTGTTCTGGTCTTCACCCATCACCCTAAACATTAGAAACCAAAAACACATTACCTATTGAGGCAGCATCCTGCTGATGTCGCCTCTCTCTTGACTCACGTCTCACATAACAAGGTTCAGCTTTTCCTTAGAGTGCAGTAAGGAGGTCATTACAATTTTTCTCAATTGCTTAAACACATTTCTTGAAATTATGCCTCATATTTTCAAAACAGTAAACAAAAATCCATAACATCTCACCCCAATTTCCCAAACATCATATTTTCAGGTCAAAGTGAAGCTCTACACTCTTTGCCCACAGACATCACACACAAAGCCTCAAAAACACACACACTACAACATAGTCTTACACATTGGTGCAATAAAGTAAGAACAATATTTGCAAGTTATGTTGCTTGTGGTTCTTACCCACATAAACCTTTTCACATGATGAACACAAAAGATGCAACCAATGTAAATACAGTGGCACATTTTTATTCATGTACCCCACAGTACAACACACACCAAAACAGTATTCCACCTCAGCATCCTGTCTTTGGTCTGGGTCAGGCAAGAGAGTCTCATTCACATCACAGGCTACATCAGCCCTAGCCAGGCAGAGGAGAGTGGAGGTGGGGCTTTCTGATGATGGAGGCAAAAGTGAAGCGACTTACATTTGGCTGGACTCGTTGCCCCGCCTCCCTCATAGTCATACCACAGACAAGGACACGGTCAACTAAAGTGGCTCGAATTTCATCCAAGACAACTTGCCTCCTCGCCCTTGCTCTTCCCCTTCCTTGTCGCTGTCGTCCTCAACCTTCTCCTCCACCACCTCCTCCCTGGTGTCCTAGACCTCCTTATCCTCCTCTTCCACCTCCTCTTGCACCTCCTCCACCTCTTCTACCTCCTTCACACTGGTGTCCTAGACCTTCTCCTTTTACTCCTCCTCCTCCTCATTCTCTTCCTTTGCATGTCATTTTTTCAAACCTGAATGAGCTGACTTTGGCCCTTTGATCTTTCCATCAAAGTTTCTGATTGATGTGTGTTAAATTGTGACGTCTAGTGTTTCCTGGCCCTCTTCGCATCAGAATACCTTAGGCCGCAGCTTGATGATCGACTTTGTTGTCGTTTTGTCTGATCTGCAGCTGAATTTCTTGGACACTCGGGTGAAGAGAGGGGCGGAGCTGTCATCTAACCACTACCTGGTTGTGAGTTGGCTTTGATGGTGGGGGAGGATGCTGGTCAGACTGGCAGGCCCATATGTATTGTGAGGATCTGTGGTGGACACCAGCAGTTAGGGATGCCATCAAGCTGAAGTAAGAGTCCTATCAGGTCTTTTTGGCCAGTAGGACTCCAGAGGCAGCTGATAGGCACCAGCAGTCCAAGCCCAATGCCGCTTGGGTGGTCGTGGAGGCAAAAACCCGGGCGTGGGAGGAGTTTGGTGAGACTACAGAGCAAAAATTCCGCACGGCTTTAAGGAGATTCTGGTCCACCATCTGTTACCTCAGGAAGGGAAAAAAGTGCACCACCAACATTGTTTATAGTAGGGAAGGTGTGCTGCTGACCTCTACTCAGGACACTGGATCGGTGGGTGGAGTATTTCAAACACTTCCTCAATCCCACCGGCACGTCTTCCAGTGAGGAAGCAAAGTCCGGGAACTTTGGGTTGGATTCTCCAATTTCTGGTGCTGAGGTCACTGAGGTTGTCAAAAAGCTCCAGTGGCAAGGCTCCGGGGGTGGATAAGATGAGAGTTTCATAAGGCCCTGGATGTTGTGGGGCTTTGATGGCTGACGCAGCTCTGCAATATCGAGTGGACATTGGGGGCAGTTCCACTGGACTGGCAGACTGGGGTGGTGGTCCCCCTATTTAAAAAGAGGGACCACAGGGTATGTTCCAACTACAAGGGGATCACACTCCTGAGCCTTCCTGGTAAGGTCTCTTTAGGGGTTCTGGAGAGGAGGGTCTGACAGAATGTTGAAGCTCAGATTCATGAGGAGCAATGTGGTTTTTGTTCTGGCCATGGAACACTGGACCAGCTCTATACCCAATCAATCTATGTGTGTTTTGTGGATTTGGAGAAGGCGTTTGACCATGTCCCTTGGGAGGCCCTTTGGGGAGTACTTTGGGAGTACGGGGCACCAGGCCCTCTGATACGGACTGTTAGGTCCCTGTATGACTGGTGTCAGAGCTTGGTCTGCATTGCCAGCAGTAAGTGGAGCTTGCTCCCGATGAGAGTTGGACTTCGACAAAGCTACCCTTTGTCACCGATTCAGTTCATTACATTTATAGACAGAATTTTCTTGGTGCAGCCAAGGTGTTGAGATCTGTTCTGGTGGCCTAAAGATTGAGTCTCTGCTTTTTGAAGATGGTGTGGTCCTGTTGGCTTCATCAGAATGTGAAGTCCAGCTTTCGCTGGAGCAGTTCACAGCCAAGTGTAAAGTGGCTGGAACGAGAATCTGCTACTCTAAATCTGAGACCACGGTCTTGAGTCAGAAAAGGGTAGAATGCCTTCTCCGGGTCAGGGATGAGGTCCTACCCCAAGTGGAGGTGTTTAAGTATCTTGGGGTCTTGTTAATGAGTCAGGGAAAAATGGAGCGCAAGATCGATAGGCGGATTGGTGCTGCATCTGCAGTGATGCAGGCGTTGTACCGGTCTGTTGTGGTGATGAGAAAGCTGAGCCAGAAGGCAAAGCTCTCGATTTACCGGTCGATCTACGTTCCTACCCTCACCTATGGTCATGAGCTTTGGATAGTGACCGAAAGAATGAGATTGTGGAAACAAGCGGCCGAAATTAGTTTTCTCTGCAGGGTGGCTGGGCTCTCTCTTAGAGATAGGGTGAGAAGCTCGGTCATCCAGGAGGGGCTTAGAGTAAATCCGCTGCTCCTCCACATCAAGAGGAGCCAGTTGAGGTGGCTCGGACATCTGATTAGGAGACCTCCTGGAAGCCTCCCTGGTGAGAGTTTCCGTGCATGCCCAACTGGGAGAAGACCTTAAGGAAGACCCAGGACACGCTGGAGGGACTACATCCCTCAGCTTGCCAGGGAACGACTTGGGAGCCCCCCGGAAGAGCTAGCCCAAGTAGCTGGGGAGAGGGAATTCAGGGCCTCTTGACTTAGGCTGCTGCCCCCGCGACCCGATTCCAGATGAGTGGAAGAAAATGAATGGATGGAAAGTGTTTCCAGTTGGTTAATTTTGTGCTAATTGGGCTCAAGCTGTGCTGACTTGAGTTAACATTATTGACTGCTAGTGCTTTCTAAATGAACACATGGTGTCAGCACTGAAAAATGTAGGGATCTGTGTGTAGAGTTTTGCAATAACAGTTCATCAAAACAGACTTGTGTTGAAGCAGGGGAATAGTGTGTAGTTCAGGGAAATGGGTGTACCTTTGAAAAATGGTTGTATGATTTTGGACTGAGTTCAATAGACTGGGTATAGTGTTTAAGTAATCGAGAAAATGATCTGACATGATTAACAGCCCTTTTTCTTCCCATGATGCAGGCCTTCTACCATACAGTCATCACTGACCATCTGACTCCATATTAGGGAGAGGCTTCAAGAGTATTAGCATGCATATGCTCATACATTGAATGACACAGATGGGCTAATTTTATTGAAGAAAAAAATGTTTTTCAAAAGATGATTTTAGTTACTACAAGCTGTAGAGCCGTACAACTAGTTTAACTATTAATTTCTAATATTTGTTCTTACTTTCAGGGCATACGACGGTTGGCTACGCACTTTATATCCATTCCTACCGCTCATTTATGGGCAGGGCCGTTTATATGGATGACTTGTACGTAATGCCAGAGTTCAGAGGTAAAACACAACTGTCCTAATGGAGGCATGCACAGGGTTCAAATTACAGGGGAGCTAAGGAACTACTCCAGTGAGAGCCCAAGATCATGTTCTTATGAAGCAAACAGGGCCCATAATTTGCAAAATGCAGAGACTCAATCCTTAGGCCACCAAAACAGATCCCTCTATAGAGCTGCTCCAGTGTTCCACGGCCAGGATGAAAAGCACATTGCCACAGTAACATTCTCAAAGTGATGCCACTAAAAAAAAGATTGCTTGTTCATGTCTGCTCATATTCTCTGTTACTTTCTGAATTTTATTCATGCCTGATGTGGAACTCGTCACTCATGCTCCAGTAACTTCACCTCACTGGCTTGGCCGCGCAGCTTCGGTCCTCCACCACCTCCCTCATCCATGGTGTCCCACAAGGTTCTGTGCTGGGGCCTCTAATCTTCCTCCTCTATCTGTTTCCTTTCCAGCACATCCTGAGCTCCTTTAAATGAATCTCCTACCATCTTTTCTCAGATGACATTCAACTTTAAATCTGCTTTAAGCCCCATGAGATGTCTAAGCTGCAGCTGTTACACACCTGCTTAGACTCTATCAAAACCTGGATGGCTGGGAGCTTTCTACAGCTGAATGAAGATAAGACTGAGATCCTAATCTGTGCCCCAGACAAGCTGGTTCCCAAAGTCAGAGACTCTCTTGGTCAGCTTGCTTCCCACACCAAACCTTCCGTCAGGAATCTTGGCGTGACCTTTGACCCAGCTCTCACCCTGGATTATCATGTCAGTTCTCTTGTTCGCTCTTCCTTCTTCCATCTCAGGAACATTGCTAAGCTGAGTCCCATTCTGCCCCGCTCTGAACTTGAGACCGTTACCCACACCTTCATCTCCTCACGCTTAGACTACTGTAACTCTCTTTTCACGTGTCTGAGCAGAACCTCCCTGAACCGTCTACAGGTGGTTCAGAATGCCTGTGCTCGGCTTCTGACCAAGTCCTCCAAACACACCCACATCACCCCACTTCTCATCCAGCTTCATTGGCTGCCAGTTGACTTCAGGGTTAATTTCAAGATCCTGGTTCTGGTCTATAGGGCCTTACATGAACAAGCACCATCTTACATTGGTGATCTTCTTAGTCCCTACACCCCAGCAGGTCCCTGAGGTCCAGTGACTAAAGCCTACTGGTTGTGCAGCACCAGGCTAAAGACCAAAGGTGACAGATCATTTGCTGCTGTGGTCCCCAGACTCTGGAACTCTCTCCCCCTGAGCCTGAGATCAGTGGACTCAGTGGTCTCCTTTAAAAAGCAGCTGAAGACTCAGCTGTTCAAAGTGGCTTTTGTGTGACCTTCTTCACCACCCTCTCTTTATTCTGCTCTCCCCACCTATTCTGCCCTCTTTCCTATTAATTTTCTCTCTCCCTTTCCTTACATTTTTATTACTATAATTTTTTCTCATTTAAAAGTATTTTTAGTCATTTTTTAAAATCTTTTTTATGTTTTAATTTTTTGTTTTTGTGAAGCAATTTGTGATTTTTATCTTGAGAGGTGCTGTGCAAAAGATCATTTTCTTTCTTTCTATAAAAACAAGAAAACAAAACCAAGTGCTTGAAAATGAAAATGCTGGCAGATTTATCCCATTACATGTTTTAAACTTCATATAACAATCATTTATAACCCAACCCCACCCCGGTCTCAATGGGCTCCCCAGGAAGCCTCTGTGTAATTCATACCCAGGACATGCAGCAGTTATTTCTGCTTCTGTTTGTGCAGAAATGTAAACTATTTGTCTTTCAGGGAAGGGCATCGGAAAAGCTCTTATTAGCAAAGTGGCACAGGTGAGTGACAAGGGAGAAAGTTATTGGAACATAACTTTTGCTGCATGCATCAGTAGAAATGTCCATCCTTCATGTCTTCAGCCTAGTTTTAACGTCTTTTTCTGTCTTTTGGTGTCCTACAGCTGGGTTTAGCTGCTGGCTGCAACCAGCTCCACTTCACCGTCCTGGACTGGAACAAATCCTCTATGGACTTTTACCACAGCCAAGGCTGCTTTGATATTACTGCTACTAAGGGTGATCACTGCATGCGCTGTGAGGGAGAGGCACTGGAGCACCTGGCACAGCCTTAATCTAACTGGAAACCACAAGGTCAACCAAAGCAAGGCAGGGACAGAGCACCACCTGGTGCCCCACAGACAGCGGAATAATTTTAAAAGTTAAACACTCTGATTAAATTTCTATTTCACACAAATCCATTTAAATTAAAGGTTAAATGGCTTATTTTCTTCTTCTTTAGGAGTGGGACTTTTGAAACTTTAATCTATTTAATCTGAGGCTTGCAATTAATTAATCTTGATTAATTACAAATGATTATTTGGCCCAAATAAGCAAATGTCTTTATTGAAATGGGTTTTAGTGGATTAATTAATCAAACAACAGGTACAAACATGAACATACATAAGAAATGCCTGTACTTTTCCTGAATGGTACTGTTGTTAAAGTTAGTGCTAATAAAGTTTTTCAAAAATCAACATAAAGCGCAAATTCTATCTTTTTCTTCTCATAGAAAATGAACCAGAACCACAAATGGCCATTTGTTGTGTCAGCACATGTGATTTTACTTTTAATGGCCTAGTTTCTTTATAATTTAGCCTAAACATTTAAGACATTTCTATATGAACTCATTTTTCTATTGGCATTTTAATTCTCCCATAGAGGTAATAATGACATGTCACCTGTAGAGGGCGAAATAACACAATTTGTTAATTTGATCCCAATCTATTGTTCCATAGGTCTGATCCCCCATAATATTCAATAATTAAAACATACACATATAGAGCTGACTACACTGTACAACAACAGGATTACTGTGCAACACACTATCAACAAAAAATGGTAAAACATCAAAAGAAATAATCATTTTGATCTGAAAGGAAGTCTAAACCCCTGATTCTCTAAAGCAAGAACATCACATATGTACATAATCTCTTTCACCGTGCTTCATAACGCATCTGGTTTTGTCAGTTGGCATTAATTTGGTCTAACTTTAGTTTTACTATGTTTTTAAGAGACAGTAAAACTATGTTCACCCCTAAAGAGAATGTGTACATATTTGACTCAATTTCTGATCATAGGCGCACAAACTAACAGCTGCAGGTGTTGTTGCAGATTGTTTTATTCCCATTTGACCCAATCCGGTTTCTTTGTTTGGAGTAATCACTGCAAATGTCCATCATGCATTAATTCTGATTTAATGGAACATACTTCAAATTGTGGATCAAAGATTCACTTGTCTGAACATGTCCAGAGAACCAACTGTTTCCTTCATACTGTCTCAGATGATTGTGATCAAGAAGGTTCAGGCCTACCTTTGTACAGATTCCTGCTGACAGCTTCCTGCTGATGTTTACGTCTGAAAAATGCCAGAAAGTGTGGCAATAAACCAATAAATGTGAGGAGTAAAAGGAAAGTAAGTTAAACAGCAAGAAAATTGTCAAGTTCTTGGAGAGAGGAGATCTACATAATACGTTATGACTGCACAGGCTTTTCCAATCCAAGAGGGGTTACAGTTTGATGCGCGTGTCTTGTTGGTGTGAGGGCTTGCCGAGCACTTTCCTGGAATGGACCAGAATCTGACCAGAGGCCCCTTGGACATCCTCCATCCATCTGCTGATACCATTAAACTAAAAGAAAACACAACAACAAGTCAATGAAAACCTGTATTATGTTAATGAATCTTAAGGTAACTGAAAAAGTAAAATAAACATGTTTGACATCTGAATTCAATGCATTTTTTTTATCTTTGATAGGAAATGTTTAGCATAGGCCCAGTTTGCATGGCAGGTTCGCTAAATTGTCACATGTTTTTCAAAGCGTGAGACACCCCACTCATGGCAATGAAACAGAAAAACTTCACTAGATCAAACATGGCATCAGAGTAACTTAGTATGGCTGAGGAGGAGAGTACCGGGCATCCATCACCTCACTTTTCATTGGCTAAACACAACATTCAATGTAAAAGCTGTTATATTAATTTGGGGCATCTTTAAAATTGTCGAAATGGAAGGATTGGGTCAACAATCGGCACTATTGTCCTGCTGTGAGCCAGGCTTTACTCACTTACAAACTTGACTCAAATGGAAGTGGTTTTCTTGGATTTAAAGTAACACTAGACAGTTTCCTGCTCCACTGCTAAACGGGTTGAAAGTGGAATAGCAACTGTCTGTCGTAAATAACCCTGCTGCAGCCTGCTGTAGCTAGCGCTAACAACAAGCTAACACCAACATGAGCCAGCTAATAATAAAATGAACCACAAAGTAAACAGACAAAAAAGTAGCAACAGAGCCAGGTCACTATCAGTCGGTGATTTTGTAGCCTCCTTTAGAATAGAACCCCACTGTAGTCACACACATTGGTGTGGTGTGGTCAAATTGTCCTCCACTTTTGACCCATCCCTGTGGCGGTAAGCTTCAGCTGCGGCTGCGCTCGGGAACTATTCGTTGGTTTACCAGTTACACTCTTACTGCAGAGGGGATGAATGAACTATGGTAGCGTTCTGTGTGTTTTACATCTTGGATGTCTCAGTCTGCCTCTGAAGGAGCTATCCAAGGTCTCCTCAGTGGAATGCAGAGGGTGAGAGGGCTTTTCCAAGATGGAAGTCAGCTCGCTGAAACTAGTGTAGGCTGCACTCCAGTTTTAGCAATTTGCTTCACCCCAAAGACATTACTCTCTTAATTTTACTTCCTGGCTTTGCCATGATACCAACAGAAAAGCGAACTTCTTCTCTTTCTTGTGATTTTATTGACGATCAGCGAACTGAAAATGCTAACCGAGTTACAGCTAAAAGCCACAAAGCAGGTAAGAAGCCCCCCGCTACTAGCTCCGCAAAACTATCTAGTGTGGTTTATAGGCAGCAGAGTTGTTTCAAATAGTGAGTCTAAGTCTCCACCCTTTCTGGTCGGCTCATGGGTCCTTGTAAAAACGATAAAATGAATGCAAGTCAACGGGACTAAAAAAGCTATTTTCTAATCCACTTAGCTTTATGCCTTATGGATCACACATGTTCAGTTTAAATGAAAAGTATTGATGGGTGTTTCGACCACGCCAGTCACTTTCTTTGAGATTTACCAACTTGTAAAAGTTTGTGATTATTATGACTACAAATCAAACGTCGGCATGTCGCATATATGACGTCACCACAGAATCTCCTCTTCCCTAGTGTAGCTGCTACTCACCAAATGGCCAGCTTTATGGTGGTTCTTTCCTCCTAAAGGAAGAATTTGAAGTTCACTGAACTTACAGCCTCCTTAGTTAGTTAATTTAATTATTTGTATTATTATTATTATAAAGAAAAAAAGGCCTCATTTTAGTGGATATTTGAGCATAGAAATACAGTAATGTAGAAGTAATCAACAGTCTGTGGGGGTTGCACAAATGAATTCTGAGAGCTGGAAATGGCCCCTGGGCTGCAAGATGACCATGCCTGGTTTAGCCCCCCGACACACACACACATACATCCCTCCATTGGCTTTCATTCATTTTAGTGACTCCACAATGTCTAACCATAACCAATAGGGTTTTATTCCTAACCCTAACCTATACTAAACAAAACTAAAAGACAATTCCCACCATTCCGCTAAAAACAAGTTTTAGGATGATTACCAGCAATGTGGACCAGCAAAATATCCCTACAATGTGGGAAATCTCCACACACTACAGGTTAAAGTAAAAATGTGTCCACTTAAACATACAAAAACAAGTGTACACACACACATATGCTTATATGTTTGTGTGGACCTCCAATGACTTCCATTCATTTTAATGACTTAAACCCTAACCATAACCAATGGGATTCTATTCATTCACACTATAGCCTACCTCTAAAAGCGCATTTAAGGGTCTTTTGTCGTTGTGTGGACCAGCAAAATATCCCCACAATGTGGGAAATCTCCACACACTACAGGTTAAAAGGTCAAATTTGGTCACTTAAGCATATAAAGGCAAGCACACACACACACACACACACACACACACACACACACACACACACACACACACACACCTGCTGACTGAACTAAATTTTAAATAATCTCCTGAGAGATGTGTGGAGTGGCTTTTACCGCCACCATGTGGCTGCAGGAGGTACTGCTTCAGACATGAATGACATTTAATGCATGAAGTGATTTGATTTGTGCACTTCCTGGGCTTTCTGTATCGCACACCTTTGTATTGTCTCACGCCAGCGCCCACACACACTCCCCTCAACAGGGTTTATGTATGCATCTTGTGTGAGTGTGTGCGCGCGAGTGTGTGTGAGCGAGTGGGAGACATTACACTTGTGTGTGCTCTGCCTGTCTGCCTAATAGACTTACCCCCCAGCTCGCCGTTTAAAGGGAAGACAAGAGAGCTGAGTCAACAAATCGCAAGCAGAAGGATGCAACAGTTGATGTGCGCAAGCTGCACACTTTTCTGCCATTTGTGTGCACACACGCACACACCCCGGAGGACGGTGATCTGTGGGGATGTTGGGTTGCTCCGAGTCCGAGTCATTCTGTGAGATTTCAATCCGATCATTAAAACAGCAGATCTGCAGTTTTACCAGGATCCTGTCCGCCTTTCTCCCTTGCACCTAAAAATGGACATCTGGAGTGGAACGCATTCGCAGGGACTTCATGCTCTGCAGGAATGGAGTTAGTGTGTGAATTTCTGATGGTCTGCGGCGGTGAATGGTAGCCTGTGAAGGCGGAGTGCAGCCCAATATGCATCGGATTCTGCAGAGGAGGAGAGTGCGCAAGCTGCGGGTCGTCTGGGCTTCTCTGGCGCTGGTGGCTCTGGCCCTGGCCGCATGCAGCGCACTGTTCACGGCGTGGACTTGGCGACAGACGCGGGACTTGTCTCAGTCCTTCCAGGTCCTGCAGGATAGACTTGAGCAGGTATTTATCACTTAAAAAAAACAAGCCTCCAAACTCTGCTTTTCTGTAGAAAAAAAGAGAAAGAAATGCATGCATGGATGTTTGTTCATCAATATTTACTCGACTCCAACTGACCGACATTACCGCATTATGTAACTTATTTGGCGGCGGCGGGGGTCTTTGCGGGGGTGTTATGGTTAAAAGCAATAACACTTTAGCTCCTTTGCTGCATTTAACTTCAAAAAGTGCAGAAGTTAGTCTGCCCCCCACCCCCCTCCATTCACTGCACGCCATGTTTAATTGCCCTGGTGCCAGTTACGCTCCAGTTTTATCTCAATTTACTGGAAAGCCTCAAATATTTGGCTCGTGCAGTGAGATGCCTGCACTGAGCCAGAGGTCCAAGGCTGCCTGGTGCGGTACAACAAGTGTAAATCACTTGCACGTCTCAGAATAAAGTCAGTTTTGAGTTAAACTGGCAGAAAAGTTTAGGTTTTTATTCTTTTTATAGTGATCCACTAAATGTTCGGTTCAAGCCAAGGAGGTATGGGGCGCCAAATGTATAAGTAGTACTTTTAAAAATCAACTGTTGTTTGGTCAAATTTAGCTTCTCATAACAATGAAAAGTTGAGTGTGAAAAGTTTAAGGTAACACTCCTTTAGGAAAACATATTTTATGTCAAAAATTTCAAACAAATTTAAATAGAAATGTTGAAATAAATACTTAGATTCAAATCTAAATGTACAAGTTTAAATCCAGATATTTTACATTAAAACTGAATCTGTAAGGTTACATTTAAATGTTGTAATCTAAATAAAATTTGGCAGTTTTAAACTAAATATTTAGCAGATTAAGAGTTGGAAGTTTGAAGTAACCTACCAAAATAAAACAAAGATGAAGAGACCTCTTATCTAAAATCTCAGAATCAAGTATTTTTTACTTTGACAATTTACCAATGTTCTTGCCTGGGTTCTAATGGAGATTGATACATTAATTATGTTTAAGTAAATTCGGAGGTGTTAGACACGGGACCTTTTTACCCTTCTTTCATTTTGGTGAGATTGTTTTAACAGTCTGAATGTGCATGCTAGCTAAATATTTAGCTAAAAATTGCATCATATAAGTTTAAATTTCATAACTGGGATGCAACTTTATATATTTAGGTTAATTTCTGAATATTTAGGTTTCATTTCATGAATATAAGTGTGAATCAAAACATTTAGATTTTATTTTTATTATGAAATTTAATTAAATTTATGTAGTTGTCGTTATTTGAGACTAAATGGGGTCATTTATTTACATTTTTACTGTAAAACTTTACAGTCAGCGCCCCATAAGGTTGCATCAGGATGCAGATTGTTTTCTAAAGAGGAGCCAAAACGGAGCTGATGGAAATTCGTCTGTTTTTTGACTTCAGATTGCTCTGGATTTCAGATCAAGTTGGCCGTGTGTCGTGTTGACAAATCTGAACTCTCTCTCTCTCACACACACACACACACACACACACACACACACACACACACACACACACACACACACACACACACACACACGTTGGACACGTGGAGTGTTGATGCTGGAGTCTTTCCCAAGGGGCCCCACTCTGTCCATTTGAGCATTTGCCTTCTCTTGATCTGAGCCAGCAAGTGAACGTCTGGAGACTGAAGTGTAACTCTCTGCCTCCATTTCCACAGTAGCTGGAAATTCACCCCCCACCCCCTCATATCCTCGAGCAACTTCTACTCAAACTCAATGAAGGCCTCCTTCCTTCAGTCCCTCGACGGGCCCCCTGCCAAGGATTTCCAACTTTGCTGGCTTGACAAAAATCATTTCTTCTCAGACTTGTGAGGAATGTAAAGGATTGAAAACACGCATTAGGTGTCGCAACCGCTCAGAGGAAGTGGTTGCTCTAAAGCAAAGCATGGCAGCAGGGTCAGGACTCTGGAAAAAGGAGAGCCTTCTTGTGTGGCTGCTGGAAGCCGTCTGTGGCTGTGTGGTTTCTTTGCCACAGAGAAGTTATGAGAAACTATAACTGGACTTTTTGTTACTAATGTGGGGTTTTCTCCTCTCCCCCCTCCCGACAGGTCAACACACAGAGGAAGGCCATTGTTCAGCTCATCCTGGAGAAGAGAGAGCTGCTACTGGAGCGAGTGAAGAGAGACGGTATTTCAGATCTGCCAGAGCTGACTTGACTTGATCACCACCACCATACTCAGTGCACATACTGGCTGAAAGCTGCCGTGTGCTTTCTTATTTTCTTTGGGGGCACGAACATTTAACACAAACGCCGGCCCGCCTCGGCCCACATGCCACTTTGGTCAGATCTCGCGAGCCGCATGCGCTACCGCTGCTAAAAGTTGACACAGGCAGGAAAAAGTAGGCAGCTGGATTAGCCTCTCAGAAATTACAGGTCTGACCGCGGCCGGCCTTGAAGCCCAGAAAACCCAGCTGGCAAAGAGAGAGAGGTCCGGCTGCACGCTTCTGGGCAACGAAACTGATTCTTTTCCCCCGCCTTGAACACACGATTGACACAGCTATGATTTTGTTGTGAAAGCAGTGATATTTGATGACCTATCATTGCAGTATTATTTATAGCATTTGCTTGCATCACCATCATGGGACAGCGCGGTTTGTTGCTCGCCCAAGAGCGAACCTTCACTTAGTTCCGTCTTGGATCTTTAAAAAGTGACAAAAACACTGATAAGAAAGAGCTTCTTGTATTTGTTCTACATCAGGTTCCATCCAGAAATTCATGGATATCAGTAAAAAAAAACAAACAAAAAAAACCAGATTTTTCTAGTTTGTGGAAAGTTGATCGCAGCAGTCCAACGTTTCAGAAAGACACGACTGTTATGTTTTCTCCTCATGACTGACAGCTCGAGTCAGGAAAGTCTAGCCCGCCTGAGGGCTTTATGCTCGCCTTAATCACAAATCCAAAGTCTACAGGGTCACCCACCTGTGAGTTATTTTAGCTGGGATTTAATAGTCTTGAATAATGGCAGCAGTCAGGTGGCTGGCTGCTCCATCCTGAAACATAAAGTACGTTCTTCTTCTCCTTTCATGCCGAGACCATTCGAGTTGAAATCCCTTCAGGGCCAGATTGGGAATCTAAAATAAACTATTAGCAAGCAACAAGAGCTGAATTTTCTTTTCAGTGATCGTGTTTGTTTGAGAGAGGGGTTGTAGCTTTTCTTAACAGTCTAAGGTCAAGGACTTATCAAAGACCTTTTCTGAGGCTTCTCTCATTTAGTCTTCTAGCCCTCTAAATGGCTGTTTTCAATGTTTTTTATTCAGTTTTCCCCTGTCTATCTTGTTTTTATTGCTCCCCACTCTCCAGACACACTTTTTGTATTCTTTCACTTTGTTCGAGTTGACTGACGCCAGCTGGCACTAAGATTAGCCACACGAGGTGGGGGGAAAGAAAAGCGGCACACATTTTTCCTAGAAAATAACAGTTTGAGGAAATAAATTGAAGCACGTGAAAGGAAATCCCTTGCCCGTCTGTTAATCACATTAAAAGTGGCCAGGTTGAATGCAAACGGCAGCAAAATTAACCCAACGTGTTATTAGAGTCATACAGATGGTAATGATTGTTTTATCAAAAAGAACCCACAGAGGTTATTTTCTGTGCATTCAAACTTTGTCTCTGAATTTGAAAGGGGGAACGGCGCGAGGGAGAAGTGTAAATGGAAGGAAGGCGGCGTCTCATTTTGAGAGTAAGTGGCTTGGCAGACCCTTCATGGCTGTCTCGTGTAGCATCTGCTGAAGTGTTTTTGAATCATACACCCCTATACGATTGCACGCATAAAATCCTAATTGACTTTCCCTTTTCTGTCTCCATCATTGTCTCTTACTTTCCAACAGTAACCCAACTCTCCTCTCAGCAAGGTAAGGGTCGTTAAAATGAAGAATGGAAGATGGACATTTGACATTTTTCCCCTACTTGTGACAAATATCGAAAGATGATTTGTGTGTACTTTAGCAGTGGGAGAAGGTGGTGTGATAAAAGGCTGGGAGGAGAGGACGTTGAATATGAGTAAAGCCGTGAGGTACAACAAGGAGCAAGGTACCTTCACTGTGGAGAGGACAGGTGTCTACTTCCTGTTCTGTCAGGTGAGTTTCCACTGGAGTTGTTTACTGGAACGTGAAAGAAGTATCCTAATTCAGGGCCAGCATCCTTGTAAGGACATGTCCTACCTAGTCAACATAGGCTGGGTCCTTTGTCAACCACCAACCTCTCCTTTCCACCAGATGTGAAAGTGTCACGAAACGGTCGTGAAATGTACGTCACTGCAATTAGTTGCCATTATAATGGGCGGGTCCCTTCCCACCGGCGGCAAAGTGTAACGTTTTGGACTCCTTTCAGAAGCACAATCATTACGTTTTGAGAGGATTTTTTACGTGCTGTGCTTCCGAAATATGTCAGTCTCTACAGTTTAGATCGGGCCAGACAGGAATTCAAACACGAGAGCAGTGTACAACGTCCGGAAACTTCAAAACAAGTCACATGCAGATCAACGTACTTCATTTCCTGTTACCGATGTAAACAGAACACAAAACAAGCCATAGACCTTTTTGGATAGATGCAGCTTCTTTTTCCTGGCTTGTTTTTGTGTTGACTTCTGAAATTATGTGTGTTGTTGCAATTCTCCCCTTCTTTTGTGACACTTTTGCTCGCATTTTGCGTCTGAAATGCTCCCGGTTGGAAGGGAGCTCATGGGTAATGATAGCGTCCCTTCGCTTCTGGGATGCGTCCAACATGTTACACTTTTTTGACAGTGGAAAGGTACTTGTCCACTATAATTAAGCAATATCACACGAGAGGGAGTGGGTTGTTGCTGAATATCGACACTGGTGTGATTCAGTCGTAGGCACGAGGCCGAGTGCCGTAGATAATCACACCAGTACTGATATTCAGCAACAACGCACTCCCTCTCGTGTGATATTGCTGTTACACAACAGTTCTACCTACTCATTTTATGTAATAACAACAATAAGCAACAACAGATTATGATTTGTTCATTTATTTAATCATTTATCAGGCTCCGCCAACATAAATAGTCCCAACACGAAACGGAGACTCAGACAAGGCTGTTGCTAGGCAACACAAACATTTTCTACAAAGCACTTTAACTTTACTTTGTATCATTTACGATTATCTGAATGTTTCCGTGTGACTCCTTTGAAAACATTGTTAGCTGGTATAAACTCTGGGTCCTGCATTAAATTCCATGAGCGGCTCACCGGCGGCTCCAGTCCCGCCCGAAGTCCGAGGTAGCTGCTGATGCTGTAGAGCTCCCCTTTAGCTGTCTGGATCGATCCATAAAACTCCCTTAACATTGTGTTCAGTCTTCTTAACTTGCTGAAAGTTCACCTGGATATTTTTGAGATTGAGCCAAGTCTTAAAGCAGTTCAGAGCCCAGGCTGTCTGCCTCACAGTGTTGACTTCCTTTTTGCTCTTCTCTAATTCGTCGAGGTCCGCTGTTGACATGTCAGCACACCTGGTTTGCGCTGATGTATTCGATCCACTTTCCTTCCCTTCAGTGTCAGATTCTGATGACCATTCATATTGTAGATCGAATGTTATCTGAGGAAATATGTCCATCTTTGCTGTGCGAAGTCGGTCAAAATCCAAGGGTTAACGGCAGTAACGTTAATGATTAACTGAGAACACCTGTGCACAGCGGAGTGATACTGTTTGTAAACAGTCCCAGTGCTGTTATAGTCCAATATCAGCACTCTTGGAAAGTCTCTTGACCAATCAAATTACTCGGTCGGAACTAACTGTTGTATAACGGCGGCTAATTGCCGCAATGTACGTTTTGCAGCAGTTTTGCAACACTTTCACATCTGGTGGAAAGGAGCGTTAAGACTAGGGATGTCCCGTTCCGATATTGATATCGGATATCGGCCCAAAAACACTGTATCGGATTATATCGGACTGCATCAAAAATCTCTGATATTAGCAGTACGTTCCGCTTTAAATTCCATTCCAGCAATTCTATCCAGCAGCACCCAGATCCAGCATGCAACGTCCACATGATCAGAACAGCGTGTGCTAGATAAATAGCAAGGAACAATGGCGGCCATCTGGTAGCATTTTTCGTTAAAGCCTGAAAAAGACAGTTTGGCTCAGTGCAGCACTTGTCATGCAGAAGTTTCCCGTGGTGGAACAGAACCCGGAGAAGATTAATATGTCCAACCTAACCCTAACCCTAACCAAGAAACACCTGTAAAAAAAAAAACAACTATACAAACAAAAACAGCCTAACAACACAAGTGCTTCTTGTACCTCCATCACATAATAATGCTTACATTCAAAACTGAAGTCCTCTTTCTCCTGTTTGACTAACATTGAATCCTGGGGTAACCTTTGCCAATAAGGATACATCAGACCATTCCTTGAAATCATGGAAAAAAAGGACACATTTGTGTTTAGTGTCCCTTTGAATTTGAAAACCCTTGCAACATTCACTGTGGAAAGACGTTGAACGATGCAGGCCCTGAATTTGGGCACATAAGGAATATTAGGTATCAGAATTAGTGACTTCATCAAAAGCCTTCCATATCTAATCCTATACATGTCTACTACCCTCTGGTGAAGGATCTATCGGGGAAATGGCCAGTTTTATTTGTTTATTTCTATTGTATACTTATATAAAACTGATTAATATATGGTTTAATTAACTTTACTGTAAACTAAGTTTAAAATCATTATTAAAACAGTATTTCTGGCATTAAGGGGTTAAGCTTGCTATGGTTGGGCCCATTCCCCAGTTTTGCCCTTACTCACAGGTCTACCCATATTCATCGGTCCTTAAGTTTGAAGTAGGAAAGAGTAGTATTTAAAGACATACCAACAGTCCCCAATTCTTTAGATGTAAAACAGACATGCCATTATGTCGGTGTATGTCCAGCCTCATATTTTGATCCTCAACTTAAAGTCACAAAGAGTAGTGGTTTCATTAATTTCGTTATGATGTTGCACTCCACTCCAAGAAGTCAAGATGCCACCAGGCCTCATCTGTCCCTTTGATGTAGACATTATCAATATGTCAGAACATTCTAATGGCAATACCCACATCCCTTGGCCCTTCAATAGAAGTGGCAAATAGTGGCGGTTAAAATATTTATTTGCAACATTCAAGAAGTCAATGTGACGTCAGGCATCAGTGCCTTTGACATAACCAAACACATTCTAATGACAACTGCTGTTCTCACCAGTGGACCACCATTGTTCCATAGTGCCTCATTCAAAGCCTCAAAGAGTACCAGTCAAAATACTCCCATTGTTATTTGGGACGTCCATTCAAGAAGTCAATGCACCATCAGTTTTCAAGTCCTTTAATTTATACAGATGCAATGCCTATTGCCTTTACCCATAAACTGATGTCTGCCCTTTTTAAAGGTTCTTAATTCTAAGTTGCAAAGAGATAGAGTTAAAACAGGGGTTGCCAAGGGCTACCGACCCCCCAACACACCCGATTAATGAATGAGTTATTAACAAGATTTCTGCTGGTTTACAGGAGATGATTAAATCACTTCATAAGTCATTTAAAACCTGCATAATGGCAGCCATCGACGAGTAGGTGGCCTGAAATAAAAAAAAAAGAAACGGTATTTTACATTTAAAATGCTGACATTTGTAATAAGGCATCTGGAGAATCAAAGTTATGCATATAAAAAAAGCAGGCTCAGTTGTGTTCAGTCATTCATGCTGTATAGGCTTACAGAAATCTGGAGAAACTCTTATCTTAGGGGAAAGAAGGCATGAAAGTGGGACAATTACAATCCCATGTGTGATTGGTTTTCTTTTACCTAACAAAAGAAGAATTTCTGCATCTCTGCTGACTTGTCTTGATTAGACACGCTCTTTTCTGCTTCCTCAGGTGTTGTTCAACGAGCAGCAGTCTCAGTATGTGAAGCTGGACGTGGTGACCAATGGCCTGAGACCCCAGAAGCTGCAGTGTATGGAGGGCTACGGGACCACTCCTTCTGCAGGACCGCACGCTTTCCACTTTGTGAAGCCGTGTCAGGTCTCTGGCCTGCTGCGGCTGGACAAAAACACGGAGCTGCAGGCCATCACAGGCCCGTCTTTTAGTCTTCATCCAGTCGCCAATCATGTCTTCAGCATCTTCAAAGTCAACTGAAGCTCAGTGCTCCCCTGATCTGTGCTGGAAACTTTTCTCAAGTACACTGACTTATCAGAAAGACACCAGAATGCTTTTTTGTTGTTTTGTTTCATTTGCATGGATGATGGCTTTTTTTCTACGTGGGGAATTGTCACAAGGAATTACAGAATGCTGCAATTTTTTTTTTCCCAGTAATTCCCACATTTGTTCATCTGAAAAACAAACCTGACATTTGTGGAAGCTGTTGTGGAACTCTTCTCTGGACTGCGGGTCTGTTTGGGAATGCAGTTCTGGATTTAAACCAAGACCCACAGTGAACAAAGTTCCTTGATGAATTCTTGCAGAGAAAACAGATGTGATGGAAGCTGCTCTGTAAATTAAAGAGATTCACAGAAAAAGAAAGTTCCTCAGATGTTTTAGCCTTTGTATAATGCAATAAAGTCTGCCTACACTCGTTATAAAACTGACAAGTTAAAGCTGTGCATGCATCTTCCACAGCTACGAACATCTCGACACTATAACATCTCACTCTGGCTGGAATAATGTTGCATTTGTGTGCAGGGGAAGACTTTGTACTGATTTTATGATCGTGACAATGCAATGTATCTATGTGAATTTAATGCAAACTATTTTTCCCTTCAAATATTTTGTACATAAGTCCAGACATTTTACAGAATATGCATCAAGTAAGGAGCTGTTCCAGAAAGTGGAGTGTTTTAAGTAACGTGGATGTGAATTTATTATTTTTCTACGGTCAAATGATTGTATGGTACAAAAGTCAAGGCGCAAGGTATTAATGGCAAAGTATAAAACTTTAAATACACCTTTGTCTGCTTTGCCAGAGCTGTTTCTTGTCCATTTGATGATCTAATGCAAATCAATAATTATTAAAGTGACAGTGTGTAGTTTCCTGGTGCCAGGTGGCAGTACATGTTTACATTTCAGGGTAGTTTTACACCATATCATCAGTAGTTTAAAAAACATTATGTTAAATGTTGTTACCTGTGGAGCAGAAGGCATGCAACCTTGGCGTGACTCCTCAGATTACGATGGTCCTTCGGTTAATTCCATTGAGAGAATGCAATACCGATTGTTGTTCTCTGGTGCTGTAGTTTCCAGATCTGCTTGGGGTCCTGCGTCTGCTGATGACATTGTACTACGGCAACACCTCTAGGTCAAAATATATTGCAACTCTTTTTCAATTTTGTTCTTTCATCTATGTTTTGGAAAGAGTTTAGCAGTTTTGTTATTAAATTAATGTTTCTAACTGCCTAAATGTATTCATACGTGATATCGTCCTTAAGTCGTACGTCCAGCCAATCATCTAGTGTGACGCCATCAACAGGCGCAGGACCTCGAGCCGACCTGAAGGGAACATTGCGACTAATATGGCGTCTTGCAATGGCACTAGACCCACAACCCATGTGCTTTAGACCCAATTTTTATGGTTATATGTTATGAAGCTGCCAATATTTTCCAACAACCTGACAGCTTTTGATTCATTTTTAACAACATTTTGATGGATATGTTCAAATATTAATGGTAAAAGTACACATTGTCACTTTAGGGTGCACAATATATAATTTGTCACAATATCTGATGGGGTGATAAACTAGCACTTATTAAGCAATTGCCACTAGTTTTTGGTCTGGTACCAATTAAACTGAATTATTTTGTTTAACTTTACCTTTACTAATATCTTCTGAAGTTAAATGCACTTGAAAAATCTGCTAATTTTATTTTTATCTAGCCAAATTGTATGTTTTTATCCTAGATTTCCAAGTCAGAGGATTGTTACTCTGCTACAAATCTCAAACAATTCAATTGTAGGTTCACTTAAAAAACATTTGTCACCCCATACGGACAATGCCAATAGGAAGTCTAAGTCTTCTCCCTTTCCAGTCGGCTCATGGGTCCCCGGAAGAACGGAAAAATGAATGCAAGTCAACGGGGCTAAAAGAGCCATTTTCTAATCTGCTTTGCCTTACACCCTGGATCGCACATATGTTGTACTTCGATTTAAATGAAAAGTAATGATGTTTGTTTCGACCACGCCTTTCATGTACTTTGAGATTTATCGTCTTGTAAAAGTTTGTAATTAGCATGACTACACACCAGAAATCGGCACGTCGCATATGTGACGTCACCACAGAATCTCCTCTCCCCTAGCGTAGCTGCTACTTACCACATGACCAGATTTATGGTGGTTCTTTCCTCCTGAAGGAAATATTTAAAGTTTGCTGAACTTACAGCCATTTTCCCTTTGCTTTCCTCCGTGTCTGAATAAAATAGAATAGTCTTTATTGATCCCACAGTGGGGAAATTCACTTGTTACGGCAGCACCAACACTTTAGAATAATATGAAGAAAAATAATAACAAAGGTACATAGGCAGTAGGTTAGTATTGTATCCTTCGACCACAAAAATCATGAATAAAAAATTCACTTGGGTTCCAGAACTATGCAGCATACTGGACGCAGACATACTGTGTAAATCTGGTATTGCACAAATATTGAACACATACCGAGTATTGCATTGATGTTATTGTGTAACAGGATAATGCCAGTACTAGTTAAACTGAGGAGTTAAACACTCTAGTTTGGTGACGTCAATTTGGTGTTGCCCATTTGTAGTCTTGGATGTGTTTTCACCAAAAACCTAAAATAATGTCTTCTTCAGCGCTCTGAAGCAAGCACTGAAGAAGACTGCAGGAGTAGTCAAAACCTCAGCAGAATGAAGGTAAAACAACCCTTTTCTGAGTTAAAAAAAAGAACCAAGTAATACAGGACACATTTATGTTCTCAGACATGTACTGGTGTTCTTCTAAGCTAATCTGTAGTCTTACGCTACAGACTCCCTCTATGAAAGCAGCTTTATTTTCTGCAGGCAGACCATGACTCAGCATTTGATACTTCTCATCTGGTCACAGCTCGTGTCTGTTTGGGTTGGTCTATTAAGAAATAAAAACAATCTGCACAATAATCAGTCCTCTGACTATTTGATGCATAAAACTGTATTTTAGTGCTAATTTAACGTTTAAGCATGCTAATTCATCCTTAAAGTTGGTTAATGCTATTTGTGACTTATGGGCCACTCAGACGTAAGCATATAGGCCGGGTCTACCCTACGTTACATTTAATTTATCCACATCAGACACAAAGCGTTTACCTCCATGGTTTGCAAACAACAAACAGAATCTAACTAAGTTTAAAGTTTTCAAGGTTGAACATCAAACGGAACATGAAAATTAATATTCATGTTTAAACTATTATAAACAATTCCATGAAAACATAAAGCCCTGACATTTGTTTGTAATTATTATTATTATTTTTTGTAAATAAAAGTTTTTTCTATGTCTCCTTTGCTGTGGTTTTCTGTAATATTCCCCACTAGACCAGTGAGTATTTCTAGCAGTGGGTTCCAGCGCTCCCAGTCTTGTTTATGACGTTTTTGTGGCCGGACCGCACTGGTTTCTCCTCAGCACTTTATTTCAGCGAAACTTGTGTTCTTAATTGGACTCTAGCATTCATGTTTTCAAAAAGGGAATATTTCCATACTTTTAAAAGAAGTAAACGATACATATTGTTAACATTTCCTCCTCACTTTCCTCCCACCCCTTCGTGACTCACCACCCTCACCCCTTCCCTCCACACACACACACACACACACACACACACACACACACACACACACACACACACACACACACACACACAATCTAAATTTTCACTTTCTGCATCTGAACCTGAACCACATAGTTGAGGAAAAACATGCCATGTTCCTCCCCCACCACACACACACACACACACACACACACACACATTTCCCCTCCCTTTATAGTTGTCAAAGTTCATTAGCCCACCACCTCAAAGTATCTTCTGAAGTGTTCTCAAAAATTTGATTGTTAAATAATAACTTATGTATTGTTTTAACTTTGTCATGGATGGTAAGCAAATGATTTTACTACTTATTTATATATTATTGTATTTTTAATAAAAAATGAATAAAAAGCCTGGAGGAAAATGGCCAATGAATGCAGAGTTTGATTGTTTTCCAGCAGAATTTCTCCGTATGCTCTGATGAATTTCCCCAAGCTAGATATGCTTGCTGAAGAGTTGCCCACTGGTATCGTAGGACAAAACAAGGGTATCTGGTAAAAATCAATCACAGAACCGTCTCAATTTTCAGCTAGATCTGCACAACTGTATGGAAAAAAATATAAAAACAATATTTCTATTTTAAAACACACAAAGTTTTTACCCTGTAATGAGAATGATCTTTAGTTGTAATCTTTTCTGTTAGTGAATTTTGTTTTTTTCCTACAGACTTTCACAGGATACTCAGTTTTTTATGGTACATATTGGGGTAAAAATCAAGCAGAGAACTATATACATTTCAGCTTGATCTGCAAAACAATTAGCAAATAATTGAAAACAAACACAATTATATTCTGATCATTTAGTTTTAAAAAGCTGTCCCCTGTAATAAGAATAAAATGAAACTCATCATCTTTGTTGCTAAATAATCCTGAAACTGTTACAACTCTAAATCGTCAGTGCACCCCAGGGCAGCTGTAGCTACATTGTAGCTCATCATCACCAGTGTGTGACTGACTGATTGTTTTGTGAAGGTCCTTGGGGGGTCGTAGGACTCTAGAAGGCACAGTACATTTACAGGTCATTTACCATAAAAAAGTTTATTCTGGTGAACCGAGGGGAAATGGCTCTTTAGATTGTAAAGTTTGCAAATTTCTGGTATTGAATAATTATTTTTACTTGAAACATAGTTTAGTAAAGGTAGTACAGAAGAGGATTAGGGTCACCGAAAATTAAAAAAAGAGAAGGGAAATCTGACTTTATTCTCAGAATTCCAACTTCTTTTTTATCTGAGATTAAACTTTAATCTCAGATAAAGTTTAATCTCAGAAAAATGTCAGAAGTGTGAGATGAAAGTCAGATTTCAGAGATTGAAGTCAGATTTCAGAGATTAAAGTCAGGATTCTAAGAATAAAGTCAGATTTCAGAGATTGACGTCAGGATTCTTAGATTTAAATCAGATTTCAGAGATTAAAGTCAGATTTCAGAGATTGAAGTCAGGATTCTAAAAATAAAGTCAGATTTCAGAGATTGAAGTCAGGATTCTTAGATGAAAGTCAGATTTCAGAGATTGAAGTCAGATTTCAGAGATTAAAGTCAGATTTCAGAGATTGAAGTCAGGATTCTTAAAGTCAGATTTCAGAGATTAAAGTCAGATTTCAGAGAATGAAGTCAGGATTCTTAAAGCCAGATTTCAGAGATTGAATTCAGGATTCTTAGATTAAAGTCAGATGTCAGAGACTGAAGTCAGGATTCTTATATTAAAGTCAGATTTCAGACACTGAAGTCAGATTTCAGAGACTGAAGTCACGATTCTTAGAAAAAAAGTCAGGTTTCAGAGATTGAAGTCAGGATTCTTAGATTAAAATCAGATTTCAGAGACTGAAGTAAGGATTCTTAGATTAAAGTCAGATTTCAGAGACTGAAGTCAGATTTCAGAGATTGACATCAGGATTCTTAGATTAAAGTCAGATTTCAGAGACTGAAGTCAGGATTCTTAGATTAAAGTCAGATTTCAGAGCTTGAAGTCAGGATTCTTAGATTAAAGTCAGATTTCAGAGATTGAAGTAAGGATTCTTATATTAAAGTCAGATTTCAGAGATTGATGTCAGATTTCAGAGATTGACGTCAGGATTCTTAGATTAAAGTCAGATTTCAGAGATTGAAGTCAGATTTCAGAGATTAAAGTCAGATTTCAGAGACTGAAGTCAGATTTCAGAGATTGACGTCAGGATTCTTAGATTAAAGTCAGATTTCAGAGAATGAAGTCAGATTTCAGAGATTAAAGTCAGATTTCAGAGATTGAAGTCAGATTTCAGAGACTGAAGTCAGATTTCAGAGACTGAAGTCAGATTTCAGAGAGTGAAGTAAGGATTCTTAGATGAAAGTCAGATTTCAGAGATCGAATCCAGGATTCTAAGATTAAAGTCAGATTTCAGAGATTGAAGTCAGGATTCTTAAGCCAGGTGTACACTGTGCGACTTTTTCACTTTTTTGAGCCGATTTTCCACTCGTGCAAGAATCCACAAGATCGGGGCGAGTTTTGCGCTGAGCGTTGTGTAGTGTACAGGGGGTTACGAGAGGCGGTTAACACCACGTGACCAGCTACCGATCAGCAATCGTGAGCTCGCACAAACTTCTGGCGTGTTTGAAATTTTGCTCGTCCCTCGTGAGGGTATCGCACTGTTGAAGCGGCGCTGCGAGCCGCTGCGACCCAAAAAGTATCAGAACCGCTCACGGCGCATGCGCAATCCTGCATCAACACCGCTCGCCCGCTATTTCCCTAATAACACACGTTGTTCGTTTTTATTTCTACACGTTTTCACTCACAAAGATTGTCAAGAAAGTGTGTTCGTCGTGTTCATGTCAAATTAAACTGATCACAAAACACAGATTTACTTTCTTTATTTTGTTTTCCTCATCCAACCCCCATAAATCCCTGTGTGTCCTCCTGCAGCACTCCCGAAGGACAACAGGCTAAACAAGACATAAAAGTCTGACGTGTTGAGTAAAAACTGCTATTTTTAGCATATTTTTAGGTCCGACGTGTTGCTACCAGATGTACAGTGTGAGCAGTCAGGTCGCATCCGAGAACTGGGTCGTGCAGTGTGAGTGCATGACTCGTGAGATCTGCCCTGAGAGGAAGTCGTACAGTTTGAGCTGAAGCTGAGTGCTACGAGTGGAAAAGTCGCACTTTTCCACTTTTCCAATTCTGAAAAAATGTCAGAAGTGTGAGTCGAAAGTCAGAATTCTTAGATGAAAGTCAGATTTCAGAGATTGAATCCAGGATTCTAAGATTAAAGTCAGATTTCAGAGATTGAAGTCAGGATTCTTAAAGTCAGATTTCAGAGATTGAAGTCAGGATTCTTAAAGTCAGATTTCAGAGATTGAAGTCAGGATTCTTAAAGTCAGATTTAAGAGACTGAGGCCTAGTCCACACGTAGCCGGGTTTTTTAAATGAATATCCACCCCTCCAAAAACTTGCATCCACACCACCTCGTTTTAAAACAAAACTCTGTCCACACGTACCCGGATAAATACGTTGTTAAGGACATGCCAGACCTGTAGGCAGCAGTACTTCCCCCGTTCTTAACCTCGTCCTTCGTCTGTGGTCTTCCGCAAGGAGCAGTAATTCTGCTTGCAACAACAAACAAGCAAAAAGCGCTTGGACAATTGGTAAAGCGAGTGCAGCTCTGAGGGCATCCATGCTGTCGGCTAGTGTAAACACAGGTCGCACACGTGATGTCAGCATTTTTTTGTCGTGGAAAGTGACGTTGCGGACCTTAAAACTCCGGTTTTGTCCGTCCACACGCAGACACCCAAAACGGAGAAAACGCAGATCTTCACTTTGGCTGGAGTTTTTAAAAAGATCCGTTTTCGTGTGAAAAAACTCAGTTTTCGTGTGGATGACAGGCCAAAACGTAGAAAAATATCTACGTTTTGGCAGATCCCCGGCTACGAGTGGACAGGGCCTGAAGTAAGGATTCTTACCCCCAAATTCCACTACCTCCGCTCCGCTCCGGTCCGCCCCCGCCTTCCGCAGCCGCTCACTTCCGAATTCAATTTTTACTGGTACCCGCTCTACAACGGCTCCGCTCTGGTGCGGAGACCTGAGGTGCGCAAACAAGCATGCACAGGATTTTCAAGATCTTGCGATACAGTCCGAGCAATAAACGCGGAAGTTAGATCCAAACACCCGTTGTGTGGGAGAAACATCGGCATGAACTGTTTAATCTGCCCATCATTTGTGTTGAGAGATCAGCAGTGTTTGGTCAACAAAGTGTGACTACTTTGACAGTAGAAACTGTATTTATGGCTTACTTTTGTGCATTTAAACTTCAGCCGCCATTGATAGTTGTCAAAAGTTGTTAAACCTGTGCATATGAGACAAAAAACGCATTTTGTTTATCGATTTATTGTGAAGAACGGAAGTTGTGTTTGCTCCTTTTCCTGTTGGGCAGTTGTGATTTCTGTCCATTTACTGCGGAGGTGCTCCGGCGTCCGGCGAAAATAGGATCGATTCTATTTTTGCCGGACGCCAGAACAGAGGGCGGCGCATGGCGCCGCACTGCCGGAGCACGGCCGCAGTAGTGGAATTGCTCTGATTGACTACGGGACCGATTTTGCTCCGGCGTCCGTGTCGGAGCGGAGCGGAGCGAAGCGGAGGTAGTGGAATTTGGGGGTTAGATTAAAGTCAGATTTCAGAGATTGAAGTCAGGATTCTTAAAGCCAGATTTCAAAGATGAAAGTCAGATTTCAGAGAT